CCGCTTTATCGAGATATAATTGAAAAATAAAAGTTACATATAGTTAAGGTGTACGACTCGATGTTTTGATGTACACGTGCGTTATAAGATGATCGCCACAATCAAGCTAACGATCGGACTCATCGCCTCAGTTACCTGTCCTTGTTTCTTTCTTTCTGTGGTGGTGATGGTGAGAACATTTCAGATCTACCCTCTTCACAGATTTCAAGCATACAGTACAGTGCTGTTACCTATAATCACCGGGCTATACGTTACATCTCTAGAATTTATTTATCTTGCTTACCTGGAACTTTATACCCTTGGCCTGCATCTCCCCATTTCCCCCTCCTGTAGCCGCCAGTCTACTCTTGGCTGCTTAGTTCAACTGTTTTAGATTCCACGTATAGGTGAGATCATCCTGTGAAAAGCATTTGTTTTTCGGTGTCTGGCTTATTTCACTTAGCATAATGCTCTCCAGTCCATCCATGTGGTCACAAATGGCAAGATTTCCTTCTTTTTATATATATATATATTTCAGAGAGAGGAAGGGAGAGGGAAAGATGGAAACATCAACGATGAGAGAGTCATTGACCGGCTGCCTCCTGCACGTCCCCTACTGGGGATCGAGCCCCCAACCCGGGCGTGTGCCCTGACCGGGAATCGAACCTCGATCCCCTGGATCCTAGGTCGATGCTCAGCCACTGAGCCGCGCCGGCCGGGCCGCCAGTCATTTTCTGGTCATTATTCAGGTGAAGGCTCAAGGGGGCCCCCTGGAGAGTGTGGAATTGCCCTCTGCACAGCTGCCCCCTGCCCCTTNGCGCCGGCCGGGCCACCAGTCATTTTCTGGTCATTATTCAGGTGAAGGCTCAAGGGGGCCCCCTGGAGAGTGTGGAATTGCCCTCTGCACAGCTGCCCCCTGCCCCTTACTGTCCCCCAAACTGCACCAGCTTGGTGCGCCTCTGCCCCAGCTCGGGAGCTCTGCGGCCTCTGCCTGTGTCTGTCCGCCGTGGCACACCGAGTCGTCGGCACACCGAGTCTAGCGATCATCTGTCCCCACGCGGACATCACAGTGTTAACTGCAACCCCCTTCACCTTTTCACCCATCCCTCCACCTTCCTCCCCTCTGGCAACCGTAAGTGTGACCCCTATTTTATGAGTCTGTTTTTGTTTGTTACTATTTTTAGAGTCCACCTGTAAGTGAAACCATACGATATTTGTCTTTCTCTGCCTGACTGACTTTGCTTAGCATAACACCCTTTGGGTCCACCGATGTCGCGACTGGCAAGTTTTTATTTTGTTATGGCCGAGTCACATCCCATGGCACGTATGGACCGCGTGTCCACCCACTCATCTGTGAGTGGACACCCAGGTTGCTCCCACGTCTCGGGTATTGTAAATAACGCTGCGTGAACACCGGGCAGCGTGTGTCTTTTCCAATTAGTATTTTTGTTTTCTTCGGATAAATACCCAGAAGTGGGATTGCTGGGTCGAATGGTGCGGCCGTTATGAAAAACATTGTAGAGATTCCTCAGAAAACTGAAAGTAGAACCGTCACATTGTAGAATTAGAACCCACCAGAGAGCCTGGACCCAGGTGACTCCCCGAGGGAAGTCCCCAGGACGCGGGCAGGCTCGGCGGAGCTGCCAGCTGTGCCTGCTGGCGCTCTCTCCCTTTCTCACAACCAGCCAGGCCAGCTGTGACCATGCCCACCGGCAGGTGCCCTCTCCCACGCGGGTGCCACACCTGCACCCTTGAAACATGCCATCATTCCAGCCGCAGGGGCCTGCACCCGCCGGAGGCACGCTGTGCCGAGACCTTCCCTGGCGCGCGCTCAGAGGCCCGAGCCCGGGACCCTAGTGCCACGTGGCCGCGGTTTGGTGGAACGCGGGGCTGCCTCTTGTCGTATGTTAGAGATGGACGGCTCGTTTCACAGCTGTGGATTTCCCCCTTCTGTCTCCTCAGAAATTGCAGGTACTCCCGTGTCTGAAATTTCTGGGCCCTTCTCAACAGACGACATAGCCAGCAACTGTGTCCCCACCCAGCCTCTGAACGAGCCCGTTCTGTGGATCGTCTCCTACACCCTCATGAGTGTGTGTGGAATCATCCTCCTTACCCTGACCATCCTGCTGCTCCTCCCCTTCCGGTGCCAGCACGGCCCCCGGGACCCCGAGACGGTCAACGATGAGTCCTCGCTGGTCCGGCATCGCTGGAAGTGAAGAGCGAAGCCTCCGCTCGGCCTCGAACTCCGCTATTCAGAGAATTAAGTTCCAAGTGCAGCCGGCAGGGGGCGCCGGGCCAGGTGCCTGCCCCTGTCCATTAGTCTTAGGTCTCGGTCCTGCTCCCAGCTGCCTTCCAGATTCACTGTATTTTGATTCTTGATTTCTTAGCCTCCTTTCGAGAAAAATGATAATAAAAAACACCTCATTCTAAACCAAACCAGAGTGAGTTGGGCTTCAGACTCCCTGTGACTGGTACACCAACCCGCCTTGCTGTGCCTCGAAATAAAGCGCAAGCCTTGCTGGCGGCCCTCGCCCCCCCCTCTGAAGTGGGTGCCGATAGGCTGTCACCCTTCTCGGCTACTGGGAAGCTTTTTGTGTTAATTGCACTTAAGGGTATTCTGCACCAGGCGTCGGCCAGGGTCCGAGTGGTCCGAGAAGGCTCGCAGTGTGATGGCAGGAGGAGCAGCCTGGGGCTGATGATGGAACCGCCTGCCCCTTCCGAGTCGGAGACAGCAGCAGGCCCCTTTTCTGGCTCGTCTGTGCCCCGAATAGAGATCATCACCCAGGAGCCCTCACCAACCTCTTCTGAAGACGGAAGGCCTTTGCCCATCGCGGCGGAGTGAGAATGAAGCCCGCTCTTTTGTGCTCAGTGCTTCCATAGTATTGTTCGTATAAAAGTTAAAAAATAAAACACAAAAAAAACTACCTCTGTTGAGACTCTGCCCAGGGTCCTAGCCCAGTTAGGGGTGCAGGAGGCTGGCTTCAGCCGTGGCCTCTCCTGAAAGAATCCTCCTTCCAACAGGCCGGACGGACCAGTGCCGAACGGCATGTGCGTCGAGAACTTGTCACCCAGCTGGTCTTTAGCTCATACACTTAACCTGCTTAGAATCACTCAACAGCGTTTCGATGAGAAAAATGAATTCTGTGTCACTAGCTTAGTTGTTGCTGTTTCCAAATCGGCTATGAAGGTAGGTTGATTGCTTTGCCCTTTCGAGAAGCAGGGAAATGGCTAAACGCCTGTGCTTCTGACCAGCTCTCGGGGGAAGGAAGACACAAGACGTGCAGAGGACCTGGAGGGAACTTCCACCTATTCCTGCGCTTGGAAACCGTGTGTCTCCATTCGCAGACGCCCCTAGACTCAAGCACACCCATCTGAATCCGCTTAAACGAACCGGTTGCGCGGGTGACCCACGTGCTTCTTTCCTGCACTCGGTGGAGCCCCCATTGGGTGTGCAGGGCTCTCCTTACTTGGGGACATCTCCTCTTGCTATCATCCAAGGCCTTTGCCAAAGAAAAGCAAAAACCTGTAACTCAATATAATCAGCCTCCTGTGATCCGATGTAATTAGGACGAGTTCAAAGCCAGCGTCCCTTCTCTCTTGTTCGTGTGCCAAGTTCAATGTTCACTCTGCCTTGCTCTCGCCAGGAGTTGGATATACAATAAAATCCCACTGCAAGGGCTAACTGCGGAGAATCTCCTCTGGCTGGAGTGTTATTTGCGTTCAAAATAGGCCACCTGTGCTGTTCCAGCCATCTGCCTTGCTCACTGGATCCCAGGGTCACCTCCATATTGAGAAATATACGACAGTGCCAAAGAGATGCGAGGTCGCTTATACACGCCACGGTGCCCTCACAGACTCTCCGCTCTCACGGGCACCTGTGGGGAAGAACGTGAATGTTCTGTGTTATTCTAGATGCAGTTCAAGCTTGGCAGGAATGAGCCCCTTTGGGGATGGGACGGAGGGACAATTTTCTGCCAGCAGATGCTCGTGGTCACGTCTGGTCTCGGCTAGCCGAGCGGTAATAATTTGAAATATATTTCAGAGTTGGACGTCTCTGCAAGTCTGATCCTCTCGTCTTACTGGCTTTCTCGCTGGCTGCTGTTTTGTGGGCCGCTTGGCACAGAAACGAAGGCAGCACCCCCAGTCGGTGCGAAAAAAATCCGAACCCCTGAAATAAGAAGAGGGAGCTGCAGGTGTAACCTGGTTGGTTTTGCTTCTTATGTCTTCAGGCAGGTGTCCTCTGTCCCATCCCCCACGTGAGGCTTCTCAGCTCAGAATAGCTCCGTTGCAGCCACGTCGCAGACCCTGTCCCAAGAACACATGATAACAGCCAGTTAGATTTCAGGCTAGGTTGTTGGAATGCAGTTGGCTGTAATTCTCTATTTCGTATCAGGTGTCTCTACCTTTTCATCTCATATGTCGCTGGATGTGACACGTTAGTGGGGATGCTCACATTGCAAAGCCTAATTTAGCAATGAGAGGGAAATAGACCGTTGAATGCGGGACGTTCCCTTGGCGCGTCTTGCTGCGGAGAATTGGAGCCTGAGTCAGAGCCCTGCCGGCGACACCCCCTCCTCCGGTTCCGTGGACTGAGACCCAGCTTGGGAAGCCTTCAAGGACGCTGGCTTTGGACCGGAAAGTAAGTAGCAACCATTCGAGGGCATCAGTCTTACCTGGTAACACACTGTGGAAGATGCTGGAAGACAGATCTTTCCTGAAAAATGCAACTTAGCCTTAGGTTGTCAAACCCTTGTTCACTCTCTGCTGGGCAGTGGATGCTTCTGCATGAACCATGCTTTTTAAAAAGTAAATAAATAAATCTGGTGATCCCGATGAGGTATTTGGAAGCCTGAAATGAAATCCTGTCTTCAGCAACTGAAACTGTTCATGAGAAACAGCGAGAAATGAAACAGGGATGAGCCCCTTTTGTACCTTGGGGGTCTGAAAGCGCCACAAGTGAGACGACAAGCCGCTCGGGNGCTTTATAATCCCGATGAGGTATTTGGAAGCCTGAAATGAAATCCTGTCTTCAGCAACTGAAACTGTTCATGAGAAACAGCGAGAAATGAAACAGGGATGAGCCCCTTTTGTACCTTGGGGGTCTGAAAGCGCCACAAGTGAGACGACAAGCCGCTCGGGGTCATCTGGCGCTTCCCAGGCCCCGTCTGCGTTTTGTCTTCTGAACCCGAAACAAGTGCGCAGCGTTAAAGAAGGAGCCCTGCGTGGACAGCAGAGAAGTTTTCCTGAGCACGGTCCGCTCCCCGACCTGGGCGAGGACTTTGCCTGATTCATCGTGAAATGCAGGGGTTCCGGTTGGAGATAAATGCGGGGTTCACTGCGATTCAAAATCATGAAAGTAGCTCCCACCATTCACCCCGTGGATCTGCGGGGCGTAGATTTTGCAGAGCAGCTGTGATCGGGGGGTGCGTTCTCTCCTTGAAGAGGGGAGATTGCATTTCACTGTTCAATAGGCTCCCTGGAAGAATGAAAACCTGCTCGTTTCCCCCGTCCCGGCCCACGTGGAGGCGTGGCCGGGAACGTGGCGGTTCTTTCCTCAGCTCTGGCCTCACGCCCCGCGACGTCCCTGGAAATAAATCACGGCCCACAGCCTGCTTCATCAACAGCGATAATCTAGTTTCACGGGCTTTATTCTTATTAGTGGAAACCGGATAATAGCTCGGGATCCCAGTGTGCTTTCCCTTGCACACACTTAATAGGATTGATTATGGAACTCTTCAGAATTAAAACTTGCCACTAAGAGGTTTTTTGCTTTTGGGTTTTTGTGGGGTTTTTTTTAGGTCAAACAACTAAACACCATAAAATGTAAAATTATGGTTTTGCCAAGAAAGATACTAGATATTTAGAGCGAAGAAAATTGCACGCAACAGAGATACTGTGTACATGTCTGGTGGGTCTTAAGAATTTCATATTTGAACTTAGGGCTGTTTACCAATTTAATAGCAAACAAGAAAAACACATTTTGAGAGCGGAGAAGAAAAATTTAAAAATAATCACAAGTATGTAACAAAACAGGCAGAATTCGCTCTTTTGAAAAAGTCGCTTTAATTCCAGGAATCCACAGATTTCTTTTACCCTTAAAGTTGCTGAATCAGTTGGAGATGGGCATTTTTTTTTTTTTATACAGCTGCAAACCCCAAACTTGAGGCATGTTCATGCTGGGTCATGTGCCTGGTGTCAGCAAGGACAAAGTGAGGAAGGTGGACCCTTCCACTGTGCCCAGGCCAGGTGCCCAGCAAGCCCAGGTGACTCTAGTTGTAGACCGTGCTCTTGGCCTCGGGCAAGGCCCTGGTTGGTGAGACCTCCATGGTGGGCAGCTGAAGACGGGGGGACGCGCCCACAGCCGTGTCTGTGGAGTGTGGAAGCGCGAGCAAAGCCGGGCGTGCAGGTGACATGGGTGTGTCTGCCAGACCTCTGGTCCCCTTGGTTAACAGAATTAAATACAGGGTGGGGCAAAACTAAGTTTACAGTTGTTCGTATGGAAAATAATGCAATGATTAATAAATAGTAATACAAGAATAAGCTGTGTTTTGTGTACTCACAACTGTAACCCTACTTTTTCCCCATCCTGTATGGGTGTTACCAGGACGCCCGCTTCAGACAATCAGTACGGTGTTTTCTTGCCTGTATCTTATGATCAGATATTACACGCGGATGGCCGGTGTTTCTAAACTGCATCATGCTGTGTGATTTTGCAGCACGCCTGCTCTTAGGGTGCCGGTCAGCTAGGGGTCGGGCCAAGAGGCGCGCAACGGTTCCCGATGCACCCAGGCCAGGCGGGAGCGACTGCGGGACACCTGACCTCTGACGGTCAAGGGCGGCCTGGCCCTAGGCGCCTGCTGGGGGGAGTTGCCTGGGCCTAGGAAGCAGTGATGACCAGTGGGCGGTTCTCTCCGCAGGTGGAAAATTATCTGTATAGGACCAACTGGGTGAAATCTAAGCTGTAGATGCCACGCGGGGTACCCCACGCAGACCAATCTGACTAGGACATTTTGCCGCCCCAGATGCACGATTATGCGATTACGAGTTACAGATTTGTAAAGTGGATTTCCAGTCAGGTGAGCCCAGCTGTCATCTTAATGGGATCACTAAAGGGGGGCTCGAACCCTCGAGTACCCCTGACACCTGGCCAGCCTCCTCACCAGAGAAGTTTCTCCATTTCGCCTGGGATGTTTGCGTTTTTGCCCGCGGGGGAGGCTCGCGTGGGAATATCCTGAGAAGGCCAGCGTCTCCCCGGCGCAGCGCTTGTTTCTCTGTGGGCGCCGTGCTGCGGCGGGCAGTTGAAAGGTTGCTGATAGGACTAAGGTTTCAGCTCCCTTCGTTGTATCTGCCGGCGTGAAATCTCCCAGGAGCCTCGCGTTTTTGAAGTTAAGGCATCGGAGTAAAAGTTAAGAAAACTTTTGTTGAAGGATTCTCTTTTTGAGATAAAGAAAAATTGATCCAAGTTCATGAATCTCATATTCTATAATGAAAATCACCCCGAATAAACTTCCTTGGCTCCAATTTCTGATGCAATATTGCATTCTTTGTTGCTGGTGTGTCGACGTGGAATATTTTTTCACTTTCCTAATTGCAGACGCAATGTTCTTATCGGCGAGGCTGGAGATGTTTAGTGTTGGGATTAGGACCTGCGAGAGGAAAGAGAATGAATGAGATCTGTCATGTAAAAAAAGCTGACTTTTTTGTAATCTAAAATGGAGTGTTTGCTACTATTTTTGTTAATTGCGCAGTTAAATATACTTAAAGTTTAAAATCCCTATGAAGCAGCCACTGGTTTTCTCCTTCAGAAGGGGGCCTTGGCTGCGCGCTAATGGCGTTCCGGCGCTGGGGGGAGCTGCAGCCTTGTACTGTAAAGCAGAGGCCAGAAGTCTCCCTTTGCAAAATGTTTCATGTATATCTCAGACTCACAGCCTTTCGTACACAATTCTTAAGTGTAACTTGTATTTTTAAAAATGCTTAAGATTATTTTGTATCTTCTATTTTAAGTGCACCGCATTGATTTACAGTTGCTACAGGACCAAGAGTCCGGGGAAAGAGGTATTTGCTCCATCTCGCAGACGCTGGGCAGACACCGTCCAAACTGTTGTGCGCTTCAAAACGAGTTTTCTAAAATGATTGGATTTTTGTACTTGTATGTTCCACCCATTTAGGAGTAAACCAATGAAAAGGAAATAAGACTTTGGTTTGTTTGAATAAATAATACTTCCAACTTGTTGGGTTTGGATTTTTTTTTTTAATCCTTAGTTCAAGTCATGCTTTTGAAGTGACAGATGCCTCACGGGTCCCCTTACCTCCAGGACTTTATGTGGGTTCCTGGAAAGGAGCAAAGATAGAATTGAATGGAGGGAGGGTCCAAGCTCCATCAGCAAGATGTAAAGGATACTGAGAATGGGAGAAAAATGAAGTAGCTAGAGTGTGAGAGCCATCCTGGGACTGGGGGAAAGCACCCGGGGCAAAGACACCCAGTGGGTCTAGGAAATGGTCCTAAGGCGGGGCCAGGCATCCTGCGGTGCTGGGGACTGAATGTGGCCTGAAGGGGAGCACTGCGCCTCCCCCTCCCACAAGCCCCCTGCGAGAAGACGGTGGTCTCCAAACTCTGCAGAGGAGAAACCAGCTCCTAGTCGCAGGCCCAGGAAAACAGCCAGAAGAGTTTGCCCTGAGAGCGCACCCAGCTCCCTCCACCTCCAGACACGCACCTCTGTGCGGGCGCCACACTCACGGGCGCTGACCTCACCATCCAGAACCAGAAGCCAAAGAATCCCGCTGAGTGGGTCGGTCTCTGTCTCCAGAGGGGTGTGCACCGAGTGGGGGTGTGCACCGAGCGGGGGTGTGCACAGAGTGGGAGGAGGGGTGCACCGAGCAGGGGCTGCACAGAGGGGGGGGGTGCACCGAGCGGGCCGGGGGTGCACCCAGTGGGGGTGTGCACCGAGTCGGGCGAGTCAGAAATAAATAATTCATGGAGACGGACGTCATCCGCGAGCTATGATCTAACTGCCACATCGATCCCTGAAAAATGTGTTTCTTTCGATGACTGGACACTTTTTGTTTGACGACACCCAGACAGGAAAAAGTCATGGGGGGAGCATTCGATTTCAGTTTTCCCTTGTTTTCTCCGCTGGTTTCTCGCAGTTCGCCCCCAGAGCTGTGAGAGGCACTGCAGGTGTGGTTTTGCGTGCTTGTCACTAGGTGGTGCTGTTGTGAGGCTCTGTGGCCTCAAGCTTGTGCTGTGTTTTTTTTCACTCTGCGGCTTTCACAGGCGGCTTTCGTGTGCACATCCCAGCAACCAGCCAGCGCTGTCCAGTCCTCCATTTTCTCCTAAAATACAGTCTGCTAAATATGCTGGCTAGTAAATCCTGGAGGTAATCCTCAATGCGCATCTCCAGCCCTGGCCTGTCTACCTGGCCGTCCCCCGGAGAAGGAAACTGAGTCACAGAGGTGCCATAAGGTCTGATTACCAGATCCATGATCTCAACCTGTAACAACTCTGTAAGGACGGACGCTAACATTTACTGAGCTGCAAATTCTAGCCATGCTTATTAGCTCTATTCTGACACTTTATCCTCAGAACAGCCCCATCAGGTCCACATTGCTACTAGAAATATTTCTGTAACCCTGGGTGTTCAGCATTATATTATCGCCAGTTTCCCCAGCTGCCTCTGGGTTGGATAGTTTTCTTCTGGGAGTTTCCTCAAAAAGGACTTATAGAAGTGAAAGTTTCTGAGTCCTTGCTTGTTAAAACTATTTGTAGCCTTGGTACATAAAGAGAGCTTTGGCTGGGTATAAAGCTCTGAGCTTCCTTTCTTTAGCATCTTGTAGGCATGGCATCCCTGCTTTCTGGTTTGAACATTGCTTTGGGGGAAACAGATCAGCTCTGCATTGCCCTCTTATGTTAAGTGACTTGACTTTTAAATATATATATATATATATATATCTCTATATTGATTTCAGAGAGAGGAAGGGAGAGGGAGATTGAAACATCAGTGATGAGAGAGTCATTGATCAGCTGCTTCCTGCACACCCCCAACTGGGGATCAAACCCGCAGCCCGGGCCTGTGCCCTGACTGGGAATTGAACTGCCATCTCCTGGATCCTAGGTCGATGCTCAGCCACTGAGCCACGCCTGGTTGGTGTGACTTGACATTATTTTTCCCTAGCTGCACAAAAGATACTTCTCTTATCGTTAGAGTCCTATAAGTCTAGGAGAGGACTCGTACTAACCATTTGGAATCAGATTTCCTGGCAAATCTCCTGGCTCATCCATGGCTTTAGCCCCTCCCTCTTTTAATGTGGACCTGCATTAGACATACGTTAGATCTGCTTCGCTTAACCTTTATGGCGATCATTTTATAGTATTTTACAAATATCTTTATTTTCATAATTTTTTTTTCATGCCTCATTTCTACCTACTGTGTTCCTTGGCTTTTTATGGGTATTTTCTCTAGGGCTTCTTCTAATGACGTTTGTCTTTTTCTTCTCTGTCTTTCTTTGTTGTGGTTGTTTTTTTAATCTTTACCCGAGGATATTTTTTCCATTGCTTTTCAGAGAGAGTGGAAGGGAGAGACAGAGAGAGAGAAGCATCGATGTGAGAGACACACATCGATTGGTTGCCTTCCATGGTGGAGATCGAACCTGTAATCCAGGTACATGCCCTTGACCGGGAATTGAACTCTCGACCCTTCAGCGTGTGGGCCGGTGCTCTAACCACTGAACCACATCTGCCAGGGCTTCTGTGTCCCTCTCGAGCTTGGTTGGCTTGAATTTCATCCCCTGTTTTGCTGTTTCCCCCAATCTTTGCATTTCTTCATTATGAGCCTCTGTTGAAAAAACTGATCCAATAAGTTGTTATTTTGGTTTTTTTGATTTGTGATTTAATCCATTTGCTCTCTGGAGACCTCTTCTCGTGAGTGTTCTTCATCCAGTGGTAAATTCTGCTGCTCTCTTCCACATCCTTTTAAATAACATCTGCTCGTCAATTCTGCTTGAGATCTTTCTTTAAATCTCTTTCTCCTCACCGTGGAATCGTG